TTTTGTGAAATGCTGTTGTGTTTTCTGAAATGCTGTGGCGTTTTGTGAAATGCTGTAGTGTTTTCTGAAATGCTGTGGTGTCTTGCACTTCAGGGCCACCGTAAACATGTCTGAGTTTCCATACGATTTTTCTTTTATTGAATATATTTTTATTCTGACCTAATGATTCCGATCAGGCTCTGTTGAATTTGTTTCTTTTCCTGCTGCACTGGCCTAATTTTCCTTCATGGCTGGACGGAATAATCTTATCTCAGGACATGTGTGTTTAGGCAGTTTATAGGCATGTACTCTTCAAAAACAGGCTGTTGTAAACAAGGATAAGCTCATCCAAAAGACGGGGAAACAAAAAGGAGGGAGAGATAACAAGGCAGACAACAGAGCATGACTACGAGATGGAGACGGAAGGAATGAGAAGGACAGAATTAAAGCGAGAGACAGACGGGGATAGAGGAGATGAAGGGTGCGCCAGAGCACTTCAAACAGCTCTCAGCGTGTTCCATGTGCAGTAATAATAAATGGGGCTTCATTATTTAGTTGTGTATGTCTGTAGTGCTGCTGCCGCCAGTTGCATTGCAAAGCTCCTGCCTACTCCGTTATTCTGCTATTTACTAATCCAAGAGAGAGAGAACCTGTTTGAAGAGTGTGTATGTGTGGAAGCACACAAAATCCTGCCGTGTGTGTGTGGATGCACGTGAGTTTTTACGTGTATTTTGCCAAGGGAGATGATTATCTATTTACAGATGCCACCCTCCATATCCCACGAACCTTTATTGTGGGGGCTAGATGAGAAAGAGGCAGAAATGTTTGGATAATATTTCTGTACAAGCCAGCGTTAACATTGCCAACTGTTTAGCCCCCCCAAAGAGACAAGACCTCACTTTTATTAAATCACCTTATTCTGCCACCTTCGACAGGCCCCTGCGAAATGAACCATGGTAGACCATGGTCTACCATGGTTCATTTAACCATGGTATAACCATGGTTGACCATGGTAGACCATGGTTGGGATATGGCACCACAGTCAACCATGGTAGAGCACTGATATAAACCATGGTCTACCATGATCACAATAAACCATGGTCTACCATGGTCTACCATGGTCTAACCATGGACATACTGTAAACCATGGTCTACCATGGTCTAACCATGGTCTAACCATGGTCTACCATGGTTTACCATGGACATAAACCATGGTCCACCAGTCCTGATGGAGAGAGGTTCTGGTCCTGATGGAGAGAGGTGTTGGTCCTGATGGAGAGAGGTTCTGGTCCTGATGGAGAGAGGTTTTGGTCCTGATGGAGAGAGCTTCTGGTCCTGATGGAGAAAGGTATTGGTCCTGATGGAGAGAGGTTCTGGTCCTGATGGAGAGAGGTGTTGGTCCTGATGGAGAGAGGTTCTGGTCCTGATGGAGAGAGGTTCTGGTCCTGATGGAGAGAGGTGTTGGTCCTGATGGAGAGAGGTTCTGGTCCTGATGGAGAGAGGTTCTGGTCCTGATGGAGAGAGGTGTTGGTCCTGATGGAGAGAGGTTCTGGTCCTGATGGAGAGAGGTTTTGGTCCTGATGGAGAGAGGTTCTGGTCCTGATGGAGAAAGGTATTGGTCCTGATGGAGAGAGGTTCTGGTCCTGATGGAGAGAGGTGTTGGTCCTGATGGAGAGAGGTTCTGGTCCTGATGGAGAGAGGTTCTGGTCCTGATGGAGAGAGGTGTTGGTCCTGATGGAGAGAGGTTCTGGTCCTGATGGAGAGAGGTTCTGGTCCTGATGGAGAGAGGTGTTGGTCCTGATGTAGAGAGGTTCTGGTTAGAGATGTCCCGATCCGATCACGTGATCGGGGATCGGAGCCGATCACGTGATTTTTAAAAGATCGGAATCGGGAGAAAAAGATCGGGGATCGGGAATCCTTAAAAAAATTATTTTATTTAATGTTACAAAACAAAAATGACCATGTTCACGTCTTAAAGTCATCCTGAGGCCTTAGTTTTGGTTTAAAATTACACAACATCATGTATGTGTTGCTTCTTTTGGGCTTATTTTCAGACCTGGTTGCTTATTTCTCTCAAATCTGGCAACAGAGTGGGCCCAGTGTCTAATAGTAGCAGTAAGCTAACGAGAGGCTACGTTCAGCTGGTGACTCGGGAGTCGGGACAGAGCAAATGTCAGGAGTTTGGAAGTATTATAAAATTGAAAGCGAAGGCAGTGTAACAGCCAGATGCAATGTTTGCAAGAAGGAGGTTCCGCGTGGTGGAAAGAACAGAGCTACGTTCAACACGACCAATCTAATACGATTGTTTGTTTTTTCTTTTAATTCCACTTTTTTTTTTCAAATTGAATTTATTGAAATCTTCAATATCAACGTAAGAGCTTGTGCCTCTTCGGGGGGTGCTAACACTTAACCATAAACGTTATCGTTTACTTTCTCCATCTTTATATGTAGATATTACTTTTCTCCGTTAATCTCCGTCACGTTGTTTCCAAAGCAACAACAACTTCCTGTCAACAGCGCGACCTCTCCTTCAAAATAAAAGCATGTCCACAAATAGGAAGCCAAGACAAATTACACTTAAGACATATACAACTGCAACGAAAGTAACCAACACAATGCAATATCCTTTTCAATTTCAAAGAACACAAATTGGGTTACATTAACAAATAACTATAAAACAACAATACTGTAGAATAACAAAAATAAGTGGTTCGCTGCTGATTACTATTGAATTGTGTTACTCCAGTAAAATGGAAATATAATACTTTGTTTATTCATGTTATGTTAAGCTGCTGTTGTTCATTGCATGAATACTAGACTAGTTAGTCTTAAGGCTAGAATTCTGCACTAAGCCACATTTTTATTTTATTTTATTATTTGTGACTGAATGTGAACTTGTGAAGATAGTCAAGCTACCTCTTTCCAGTAGTTATTTTTGTTTTGTTACTGCACTATCTGCACTCAATTTGTTGACATGGTTATTTTGTGGTGGACCACTGATAAGCTTTATTTTGTTTTGATCCAATGCTGCACAACTGAACTGATCCAATGCTGCTGTGAAAAAAAGAAGCTATATCCATGTTGGATAGAATGGATAGTTGGGTACTGTCATTTCAATAAAAAAATAACCTTAAGGGACAACTTGAATGCTTTTTTTTCTCTTAATGCATTGCATAAAGATCGGATCGGGAAAAATCGGTATCGGCAGATTGTCAAAATCAAATGATCGGAATCGGATCGGGAGCAAAAAAAGGTGATCGGGACATCCCTAGTTCTGGTCCTGATGGAGAGAGGTTCTGGTCCTGATGGAGAGAGTTTCTGGTCCTGATGGAGAGAGGTGTTGGTCCTGATGGAGCGCAGCCTCCAGACAGAGGGTTGTGTTGAAGGCAGAGCTGAAGTCCACACACAGGATCCTGGCGTAGGTTCCTGCTGTGTCCAGGTGCTGGAGGAGGAAGTGAAGTGATAACTATTAGTAAACCATAATGATGGATGTTATTATCAGCAGCTGCCAATAGATCCCCTACATCTTGTATGATGGACCTTTGAAGCACAAGCGCACGCACGCACTATTGTGGGAACAATCAAACGCACCCTCCCAGGCACTGCGTGTTAGCGAAGTACAACTAGGATTTCGAAGAGGAAGATATGCTTGGTCAATTCTTAATAAAAAATAAAAACCAACAAATTGAGCACTTGAGTTTTCATTAGCAGTGCCTAGCTACAGCTGCGGAGCTTCGGTCAATACCACTAACAGTCTATTTCCTTAAAATGGTACATATCGCTGAATCTATATTTTCATCTTCAGGTGATGACATCTGCATAATGTCCCTGTACAATAAGATTCGAGCATTTTGTAATCCAGTGAGGAAATTCAAGACCAGTAAATATTGATTGATTAAACAACACTAAATAAAATGTTAGTGTTTTCTTCAAACTCAGACTCTCTGCTGCGGCTGTACCTCAAAGACAAAACAATTGTCTGATGATCTTTGTTGAACAAGGTCTGATTGTCCTGTACATGTACAATGTGGGGTATTTTTAAATACTTTACTAAACCACATTCAATATTATGTTAGATACAAGTTAGTTATTACTCACATATCAAAGTCTTTTCATCTGCAAGATGGAATAATAGCTGGGTGCTGCCTGGAGAGACTGATGAGAGGGACACAGGCTGGCTTCAGCAGCTTTCCACACAAAGCCATCACATCTTCTCTTCCATAGTCCTCACTGTCCACTGGTGCAGCGGGTAGCCCCGTTTAAACGTCCTTTATCGTCCAGGCCAGGCCAGTTTTTGGTGGCCTTTCCATATAGCGTAGTACCGGCTAGTGGGTATTTTCCCCCAGTTTTTCCGGCCCCATAAAATCGTGGTTCTAGGGCCAGGGACAACGAGGCTGAGTATGCTAAACTAGAGAGGGAATCGCTAGCAAGGGTGGTACTACATGCATACATATCTAGTAATCAAAATCATTGTATCTACTAAGTAGGCCTACATTGGGGTTGTATTGTTTGCCTTTTTAGAAAACTTTATTTTATATTATTTGGGCAGTACATGATATACACAATTGTATTGTTTGCCTGTAGTTGGCCTTTTAATTAATAAAATATTTGAATTTGAAGTTTTGTAGATAAGGATCTTTTGGATCTTTTCTCAATACAGCTTTTTCTAACACCACAGTGTCGAATTCCCTGTGTAAACATATGCAATCCAAGTCGTCTGTGTGATGCCCCTGCGGGTGCATCAGTAGATAGGGTGTGGCTGTTCTGTCTGTGCTGCATTGGCTCCAGTGATTGCACCGATTGCAGTAACTCAGGGCACCTGGGTCTGGTGCTCTGCAGCTATCTTAAAGCCTCTCTGCTCCTGTCTGCTCTCTCGCTCTGTTTTCCTGCAGGCACCCGGCTCTGATGAGTATAAATGTGTTGAATTGACCAGTGTTGTGCAAAATAAACACCTTTACCTACCCGTTGACATGTTGTGTCTCCTTTTTGTTGTGGCCTTTTGAGCCAGGTCACAACAAATGGGGGCTCGTCCAACGGGTTATTTATTTAAAAAGTTTGTGTAGTGCTCATTGAGCAGCTGATTCATTGTTGTGGTCCAGCTGTGTGCTGGCTCTGCGCTGCTATTTGGGGGACACATCATGTCTTTTGGGTTTCAGGATGCTTTAGTGTGTGACATGGCATCAGGGTTTGTGTGCCAATCAGAAGGTAAGATATTGCTGTTTGTTACGCTTTTGTAAAAGAGATTTTCCCCGCTAGGCTTAAGTGGCGTTTCCCCTTGGGTTCCGTCTGTTTGTTTTTTTCATAGTGTTGTGGCGACGTGGTTGGTGTCAGCTGTTTTCGGACAGCTGTCTCGGGGGCACATCCGCGTGATTTCTTGGTGTTACCTGCGTGCAGGTCGCTCCATAAATCCGCCGGGTTCCAGTGCGTAATTACCCGCCGCAAGCCACATGAAGACTAGGTGAGATTAGGAAGATTTTGGTAAGGCAGTTAGGGGGGAATTCTCTGTTGGGTTTTGTCTTTTCGCCCAGGCGTGTTGACAGTTGAGTACTTTGCTTTCTGATTGGGTATAGGCAATATATTATGGCTTCTTTGTCAGCGTTTGTGGATGCGCCCTCAGTATCTTTCTTGGATGGTTGCCAGAAGGCGCAGTTGATCGAAATAGCAGAGCATTATGAAATTGCTGTTGTAGGGAGCAAGCGGAAACATGACATTAAAGCTGTCATCGTGTCATCTTTGTTTGAGCGGGGAGTGTGTTGGAGATTTAAAGGGATATCTGATCCGCTTTTCAAATCTCCGCGCGTTCCTATGAAGCTGGTTATAATACAGGAAGGAATCCATATCTACAAAGTAACCGTTAACAATAATCTACTTTAATGGCAATATGACAATGCAATACAATCATTACAATACAACATGATATATTACAGTTATATTGCAATGCTTAAGGAGTAATGCCGGCTTACTCCTGCCCCGGTTCGCATACTGCAGAGCTACTTTCACCCGAGGGCAGCATGTGAAGAAGAGGCCGAACGCCAGGGATCCACCGGATATATACCAGAGTAAGAAGGAGGGGTTTGGTGTTAGGTCAGCTGGTCATCTTTTCAGGTCATCTCATTGGGAGACGCAACGCAGCAGGAAACGCAGCAGGAAACCAAACAGGCTCACTTTACAACAAAAGGTCTCAAGGCCTGCATACCTACACCTCCCCCACAGAGCAATAAAACCCTGTTTACTCCAACCAGCCCAGAATGTTTATAGCCATTTGTAGTCCTTACATTTATGAAAGGATAAAACAGAGAAATCAATATAAAACACAAACACAGGTATTGTTTGAACAGTATTCACTTAACTGCTACTATTGATAAGCACCAGAGAAACCCAAGGGACCTCTCTTAATATCACAAACCACTGTAGCTAGATCTAAGTTGAATGCAAATCAGGACATGCTCTCACCTTCCCCCATCTTCCTTTGTCCTCAAAAACACATGTCAACAGGCCCCAAATGCAGCTCACAGTTTTACCCAAATTATTCCCATTTTAAGCTTATCCATAGTTTGCTAACATGAATAAATACAAATATAACTCTACAAATCCCCCTTTTTATCTCCTTCTCCAGAGATAAACTTAGACAAGGCATTTTGAAATATACCCACTGTCATTATTTTCTACTGTGTCCATAAATCCATCCGAAGCTGGTATTTAGAGTACTTGAAACCTTCATGGAGACCGAACACCACTTTCCATGGCAGTGAAGGAACCATGAGGGGGTAGCTGAGTGCTAGAATCATCAGCCCCCCCCCCCCCCTCGGAGGAATAGCCCACAAGGACAGCTAATAGGGAGGGGGAGATGCAGCTTGCCCTTCACGGGTGGAACTGATCAGAGCGAAGTAGACTCCTCTGCTGCCTCGACAAGTTCCCTGTGCCGTCCTGGCTTGCCGTGTCTTTGTCTCCCCAAATCCGCTGACAGCAGCTTCTGGGCTGCCTGCTAGAGAGATGTCTTCCTCCTCCTCGTCCTCCGGCCCGCTGATGGCGGCTTCCGGGTCGATGCTGTAGAGATGTCTCCAGGGTCCTCCTTCTCCGGCCCGCTGATGATGCCTCCCGGGTCGTCTGCTGTAAGGATGTCTCCAGGGTCCTGCTCCTCCAGTCTGCTGCTTCCGAGTAGTCCACGTCTGCCAGGGCCACGTCCGTCCTGATGTCGTCCCCTGGTCCTAGCAGGTGGTTTCCCCGCCGCACACTGGCTCCCGTGGTACGAGCTGTCCCCCTTTTCTCCCAGGCAGACGGCATAAGAGGTCCGCTGGGTCACTCGGTCGGGGTCGGAGAGCCTGGGGTTGAGCCACTTTGTCCTCGTGCTTCTCGGGTCCCCCTTTTGGCGCCAGTGACCTGTGTGGAGAAATCTGATACAACTCCCTCAAGCCTACGCTCAGCTGTTTTGCCCCACTTGGAGCCTCTTGGTGGGGTGTCTTGAAACAACAGCCGTCTGTGAACAGGTTTTCTAAATTAATTGTAGACCTCCTATCTGCCAGTGCAGCTTCAGAATCTTAATACTTGGATTGTGCCAACTAAATAAGAACCTCAACATCTTTAGGTAAACTAAATAACATATTTCAATAGCTCTGAATTTCTGACAAGCATCCGTGTTTATTTTTAAATGAAATCCTATTTAAAATCTAAATATAATATGAACTGCTAATGTTTCTGGCAAAGAAACACACTAATGTTATGGATTCAAAAACAACCAAAATCACGATGCTAACAAAGTGAATGATTTCCTGGTGATACTGCTTCTACCTGTCAGTGCTTAGATATTATCACGCTGAAAAATGAATACAGAATTCCAACAAACTGTCATCAAATGTCTTTCTATTCTAAATTTAGATGAAATGTATATCCCCATAATGACCTAAACAATAAAGTCTATGGCTTTTACTTCTTTACCAGGCTAGTTACATGATGTTGTCTAAATTAAATTCTGTCTCAATACACTACTATGTTTTAGCTTTAACTGTAATATGTTCTTTCTACATTTCAAACCTCAGTTACTCTAATGTCTGTTAAAATATTACAAAATTGTTTAACTATCACAGGTCAACTTCTTCGGTTTCACAGTAGCCCCTTGACCACTGCTTCTGTGCTACCTGTTATAATTCAAATCAATATTTAGAAACATCTCAACCTTCATCAAACAGTATCTTATCCCCAGATATGGAGCAGGTTAATTACATTCAATGCTCAGTTTGAACATCTGGGTTGGGGTGCAAGGTTTCCGTCAATCCTTAAAAGAAAAATTTAAATTGTGAATTTTACAGCCATGTTGACATTTATACCTTATACTCACTCCCCCCTTTTACACATGAAATAATGTGTAACAAAAGCCTGTAATGGGAGGGGAACAAAAACTGTCAGGTAATTGGTTAGGGACATAACGAACATTATTATCATTATTTCCACAGCGAACACTTCAGTGAAAAGAAGTGTTCCTCTCCGTCCTTCAGGCCTAAAAGAAACAGAATCTTCAGATTGTAGTTTTACATTTGCAAACCGCCAACTCATGTGAGAGGAAAATATCACATGTGCGGTTTCCCCTTTTTGTGGAATTTTTAGGAAACCTCTCGTTTCCCTTGGAGCTCCAAAATAATATGTTAGTCCAAAAACATGCTTGGTTAATTATTGTTTTAGAATCATGCAGTTACACTGATCACATGCCGGCATACATTCACACTCACACTGTCTGGTTGTCATGTCAAGTTTGGTCAGGTTCACCCCAGAGTCAGTCATCCACAGTGCCTTGTCAAGTTACACTGTCGGTCAGGGTCAAAGGTCAGTTGGTCTCCGTCTTTTTTGGCCATGTGTCGTGCTCTGCAGAGACTTTGACATTTCAGCATAGGCCAGTATCCTTTGTCTACAAAAATATGTCACGATTTCAACTATAATTTTCAAGATGATTCTCACTTGTCATTGGGACTTCCGCCTCCCACTTTTCCTGAAACTTGGTACAAAACTCACTTCCTTCGAGTACCACTACTAATTAAAATGTCTAATGATCTATTTCAGAAACTTTTGTACAATAAACTATTATCTTGAGTCAAAACATTACTAGGATCTGTGTCGCTCTGCATTTCATAGCTCATTATAATTCTGGTCTACTTAAAAAACGATGTTAAACTCTTTAGCAGTGTGTGGAACCTTGGGTGTCCGAACATGCAACAATTACTCCCTCCTTTATCAAGGATTTAAAACCGAAGTCTGGTAATAACTATGCCACAATGGTGAAATCAACACTTTAGATTGGAATTGAATATGTGGCTTGGCACTAGCCATTAATACAAACAAAGATTTGTCCTATAGAGTGGTTCCTAAAACTATCCTTTTAATGGTGATCAATATTGTAACCAATGAGATCACTACTTTATTCACACGTGAATAAAAATGTCTTAAAGAATGAATTGTTAACATGATGAAAATATTGAAGAATATGGTTCTACTCTGTCAGTGTGTTTTAGGATGATTATCATCTTACTTTAATATTTTCCTCTTTACTGCTATTTTTAATTTACCAAATGATTAATAAATCTTTCTGTCTTTACGTATTTATGAAGTTAATTCAAGTTATTTAAATGTGCGTTTCGTGAATAAGTGTGTTTATGTGTAACTCACTCATTCCCGTTCTCCTTTCCTCCTCCCCTGGTTTTCTCAAGCCGTGACCCTGGCCTCCTCACTTCTAATCGACCATGCCAACTCCTCTGATTCTGTCTTCTCTTCAGTCCATCAGCTGTTGAATCCATCCGCTGTAACTTTTGTAGGCAGCCATTGGCCCAGTCACATCTGCAGCCCCATCATGCCACTGTTGTTGCACTCCTCCTTTACAGTCTCTCTGCTGTTTTTATGGAGGGCGGATTCTGCTCTCATGTCTATTGTGCCAAATCTCGCGGCGCAGTTTGGAACTTCATGTCCTGTTTGAGGGACCGATGAGAGTTTGCCTCTTTGTCAGCATACTGGTTTGGTTCTGGATGCCTCAGGTCGTTGTTGGTTCAGCTCTGGTTCTCTGTCTGTACGATGGAGAAGGAGGAGTCTCCTGTTGGGTTAGGTCTCGTTGTCTGCTTGGAGGGTCGGGATCAAAGCCTTTCTAACTCAGAGGGGGAGTCCAGGTCCCGGTACACATTACCTATAAGAAGTCTAGCACACTGATGTTAAATAAATCCAACCCTTTCCACTCTGTCTCTTTGTAATCATACTATCTGTCCTAGTTGTTAAATGCCATCTAAACAACATAATTAATGTCTACTTATGATATTACAAAAACTCACTCCAAAAATTGTTTCATCCATTGTTACATATTTACCCAACACAACTCTGAAATACTTACATGTTTCCAGCATCACATATTCCACACACTATGAAAGAACATCTCCATATCTTCTCTCATTTTAAATCCCACTGTTACTTCGAACAATAGTAAACCTGCAGAGCACACCAATCGGATCACAGTAATGAAATTTGAATCAAGTGTAGGCCTATGTCTTCTTTCTGAACATTTATTTATATTGTCTACATTTGCAAACAGTTCGAGTGTAAAATGTGTTTTGCACAATGTATTTACACTCTACAGATTCTTGAGTTTACTCATCTCCTGGTGCTGTCGTTGTAAAAAATGTTCAATCCCTTATTGTTTTGTACCAGTTTACCAAAATCAGTTATAATTAATATACTGGGAACGTGCTTCCCGTCTTCAATACCGGCCAGCAATGTAATGATTAAACTCTAAGCTCGCATAAGTTTCAAGGGTGTGATACCCCCTTTCAGCCACTAGATGGCAGCAGCAGAAGTTTCAAGGGTGTGATACCCCCTTTCAGCCACTAGATGGCAGCAGCAGAAGTTTCCAGACAAAGGGAAACGCTCTACCTTGGTTTAATATATAACAGACCTCTGGCTTTAAGCTTTTAGCATTGGTCTGTTATTTAAACCCCAGTTTTAAACGGCGACTCGATCTGATTTATCGAGTTTCCAGGTTTTGCCGTGCAGGATTCAAACCTCGCATTCACACAAACTGCACCATCTCTACGCCACTCAGGAATAAACTACCTGCAGATCCGCGCCAAACTGCTCTATTTTACGTCACGCAGGACTTTCGTCTACCTGTCGATCAACGTTTACGTTTTGTATATAACTTTCCTAACATAGTAAAATATGCATTGTATATTCCATTTAAACTATAAAAACACTGTGAAACGCCTACAGACAATCCTAAAGTTTTAGCGTATCCAATTACAGACAGGCGACTTTCATCGTCTGCTTACCTTATTTGCAAAGTTGCAGAGTCCTGCTGATTGTCTGAGATGTTTGAAAGCGTCTGAATTCTTCCTCAGCTTCGTTATAGACGTCGGGTCACCATTTTGTTGGAGATTTGGAGGGATAACTGGTCCGCTTTTCAAATCTCCGCGCGTTCCTATGAAGCTGGTTATAATACAGGAAGGAATCCATATCTACAAAGTAACCGTTAACAATAATCTACTTTAATGGCAATATGACAATGCAATACAATCATTACAATACAACATGATATATTACAGTTATATTGCAATGCTTAAGGAGTAATGCCGGCTTACTCCTGCCCCGGTTCGCATACTGCAGAGCTACTTTCACCCGAGGGCAGCATGTGAAGAAGAGGCCGAACGCCAGGGATCCACCGGATATATACCAGAGTAAGAAGGAGGGGTTTGGTGTTAGGTCAGCTGGTCATCTTTTCAGGTCATCTCATTGGGAGACGCAACGCAGCAGGAAACGCAGCAGGAAACCAAACAGGCTCACTTTCCAACAAAAGGTCTCAAGGCCTGCATACCTACACCTCCCCCACAGAGCAATAAAACCCTGTTTACTCCAACCAGCCCAGAATGTTTATAGCCATTTGTAGTCCTTACATTTATGAAAGGATAAAACAGAGAAATCAATATAAAACACAAACACAGGTATTGTTTGAACAGTATTCACTTAACTGCTACTATTGATAAGCACCAGAGAAACCCAAGGGACCTCTCTTAATATCACAAACCACTGTAGCTAGATCTAAGTTGAATGCAAATCAGGACATGCTCTCACCTTCCCCCATCTTCCTTTGTCCTCAAAAACACATGTCAACAGGCCCCAAATGCAGCTCACAGTTTTACCCAAATTATTCCCATTTTAAGCTTATCCATAGTTTGCTAACATGAATAAATACAAATATAACTCTACAAGTGTTACAGAAGAGTGAGTCTGGTGTGGCAGGGGTCGGGCCAGTAGTGGTTCAGACAGCTGGTTTGACATTCGAACAGCAAAAGGAGCTTTTGGCCATGCAGTTTAATCAGGAGAGATTGCAGTTGGAGTTGAAGTTGGAGCAGGAGAAGTTGCAGTTGGAGATGAGGGGTCAGCAGCAGGAGGTAGAGAAGCGTTTAGAGGTGGAGAAGGTGCTGGAGGTGGAAAAGATGAAATGTGAGGTGGAACATGCTAGATTACGGCTGATGGGAGAGGGCAAGTTTTCTCCAGGGGAGGATGGTGGTGCTAGGTTAGCATCAGGCAGTGGCGATATAATTTCTTACTTGCGATTAGTGCCAAAGTTCAATGAGCGTGACCCGGACATTTTTTTCACTCTATTTGAACACATAGCAGAGGCAAGAAACTGGTCAGATTCGGACAGAGTGCTGTTACTTCAGTGTGTACTCACTGGGCGAGCACAGGAAGCCTATTCAGCTATTTGTGGCGAAAATACTTTGGACTATGATAGAGTAAAATCAGCGGTGTTGAAATCTTACGAACTGGTTCCTGAAGCGTATCGTCAAAGGTTCAGAAGTGGGGTCAAGGGAGATAAGCAGACACATGTGGAGTTTATCCGTGATTTAACTTCTCATTTTCAGCGGTGGTGCGCGGCAGCAAAGGTTGCAAGTTTTGACGGTCTTTGTGAGCTCATTGTCTTGGAACAATTTAAAAACATTCTCCCTCAGCGTGTGGCCACATATGTGAATGAACAGAAACCTCCCACCGCGTTTAGAGCTGCTGAATTAGCGGACGATTTTGTGTTGACACATAAGGGCAGTTTTGCGGAGAAATATTCTAGGGGTGATTGGAAACGTGGAGAAGACAATGGAGATGCCCGTGCAAAGTTTTCACCAGGCTCCTCCCGTAGATTTGCAGGTACAGGGCGACCCGAGGGGGCCAAAGTGGACCAATGTCACTATTGCAAAGGTGGGGGTCATTGGAAGGAGCAGTGTCCATTGCTGGAAACGAAGGGGAAGCCTCGTTTGTCACCACATGCTCCAGCCATGTGTTGTTCGGCCGTGTTGGTTAAAAAGCCACAGGGTGTAGGATCGGGCATGGTGCCTGATAAGAAGCTGGTTTGTGCCGACTTGGATGTGGGTTCTGTTTTTGGGCCGTTCATAACGGAAGCCGTTGTGTCAATAGTTGGTAGTGACAAGTATGTTCCGATTAAGGTGTTGCGTGACACAGCAGCTAGATACTCATTTATTGTTGAGTCAGTGTTGCCTTTTTCGTCAGAGACAGAGACGGGGGATTTTGTGCTGATGAGGGGAATGGAGATGGGCTTGATTCCTGTGCGACGTCATACAGTAGTGCTGGATTGTGAGCTGGTACGGGGAGTTGTGTCTATCGGCGTGCGTCCCGCATTGCCACTTGATGGGGTACAGATGATTTTGGGCAACGATCTTGCTGGTTGTGTGGTGTGGGCAGGTGTGCCACCGCCTGTGGTGGTTTCCAGACCGTTGGCATCTGTAGAGCCAGATAAGAGTGGTTTGCAATTTCCAAGTGTGTCTCCTTTTTATACTATTATGCGTGTGCAGAGCCGTAGGATGTCTACTGACCTACCTGTTTCGGAGTCTGGAAAAAGTGGCCCAACACGGTCCTTTGACTTTCAGATCGAGACAAAGGTGAAGGAGAAGAAAGAGAGGAAACGCCGCAAAGCGAAGAAGAGGAGGCCGAAGGAGGTCAGCGCGCCCAAGAGGCCGATGAGCGCCTACATGCTGTGGCTCAACGCCAGCCAACCCAAGGAGGAGTGGGACATAAAGGCAGTGGAATCGAAGAAGCAGTACGAAATCGCAAGGCAAGAGCTCGAAGACAGAGGCGGAGGAGGAGCGTCCTCCAGTCCTAAGATGGAAAGTAAAAAGCTGGAGTTAAGAAGAAGGATGTTGGGTTGTCGTGGACCCCTTTGGGGCCCCGTCTTAAGGGGGGGGCTGTGATGCCCCTGCGGGTGCATCAGTAGATAGGGTGTGGCTGTTCTGTCTGTGCTGCATTGGCTCCAGTGATTGCACCGATTGCAGTAACTCAGGGCACCTGGGTCTGGTGCTCTGCAGCTATCTTAAAGCCTCTCTGCTCCTGTCTGCTCTCTCGCTCTGTTTTCCTGCAGGCACCCGGCTCTGATGAGTATAAATGTGTTGAATTGACCAGTGTTGTGCAAAATAAACACCTTTACCTACCCGTTGACATGTTGTGTCTCCTTTTTGTTGTGGCCTTTTGAGCCAGGTCGCAACATCTGTGAACAGTTTATTTTCAAGCTCTTCAAGCTCATGACAACATATGTTCATAAGAGGATTGTCCATGGCTACACACCGATCGCAAGTACACCATTCATGTACAGGTCTTCCTACTCGCCTCCCGAAATCAATTGCACGAGTAAAGGGATCGTCTCCAGCAAGATCACCGTGCTGTTCATCCTCATCGTCACTGTCCCTGGATTCCTGACGGTTCTGACTACTTGGCTTGAACCTGTATGGCTGAATTCCCCCATCCAATCTCTTCATATTGCTCAAAACTTCTTCCTCGGCTGACGAGTCCGAACTCAAATACTCCGCCATGTTTTCGTGTGTTTACAAAGTGAACGCATGGATGACGTCACGACCATCACGTGACTACTGAAAATGGCCAAAATGGCAGCGGCCTGACGGAATATACAGGTTTTGATAAAAAAGAGCTATAAAATCATTATTTACCGGGGAATATCGCTGATTTCTTCAGGGTATGGTTTAAACATAATGTTTCACTAAATACTGAAGTTTTGATTAATTATCTAATGAGTGGAGCATTCCTTTAAGAGTGGTGGGGGCGGGGAGGGAGCGGATTGACAGCTTGAGCAGCTGTCAACTCAACATTGTAAATAACCAACCAAAAACGATCGCCGGTTCATGTTGTTTTTGGAGTGAGAATAGTTTGGGCAGCGTGAGAGCGTGACATTGAGAGTGAAAGCGTGTGTCACACGCCAGATGCGTGAGAGTTGGCAACCCTGATTTAACGTGTAGATGTAAAACGATCTCGATATTAATCCATAAACTCCTGTAGCAGACATACAGACAGCTGTAGCTCCAGCAGGAGGAGACCCGCTCAAACTGACTTTGATGTTTCAAATGTGAACGACAGGCGCGGACAGTTCTCATTGGCAGGTTTCTTCGATGACGTTTATATTAACCAATCCGGAGTGTTGTGGACTCATTCCAAACATGCCTGACTTGTCTGCCGTGTTTTGGCTGAATTCTATTTCAAGTGCCGTAGCTCTGGCTGTCGGCCAGAATCCGAAAACCATACATTATACTGTAAAACTAAGGTTTATTACTGTAAATTGACCAATGGAAAAAAAAAGCACAGCAACATAAATAAAACAAGGATAACTGTGACTTATTGTTGAGTAAATAACATTGTGTGTTTTAAACCTTGGTCCTCCCTGCAGAGATTTCTCCACTTTCTATGATTTTCATTTTTTTTAATGATATTGTCAACTGTAGATGTTTACAATCTAGTAAGTTAGGAATTTCATGAAAACATATTTATTTACTTTTGTTTCAACATTGGATATTTTGTGTTTGTGGTGGATTCAATCGAATATTGAGAAAATGATTTATGTAAAAATTAGGGCTGTCAAGTTAACGCGTTAATAACGCGTTAACGCAAAAAAAAAATTAACGCCACTAATTATTTTAACGCGATTAACGCATGTGTATTTTTTTTTCTCGGCCGCCCCGTAGTTTCAGAGCGCATCGAGTTTAAAATACCATCTACAAGCTGATGCTGACAGCCCCGCTCCTGCTGCCCGCTTGCAGCAGACCACACTTCCACACTCACCGGCAGGCACCGACTGGCTATTGGGAGGACCGGGAGGGTGTGTGTATGTGTGGCCCGAGCGAGCGAGAGAGAGAGACCTTACGTGTATTGTTGTTGTTAGCATCTGGTGCTAGCTAGCTGCGCTAACGGATATAAGGAGCTGTTTAAATGAAAACAGAGGAGCGACATTTCGCCACAACTGCGCCGAGCACTTGACTTTATGCAGGTAGCCAGACAGTGGGACATTGTACGAAAAGTCAGTTGAGTTGCATTGCTCCAACGATCCATCACACACACACACACACACACACACACACACACACACACACACACACACACACACACACACACACACACACACACACACACACACACACACACACACACACACACACACACACACACACACACACACACACACACACACACACACACACACACACACACACACACACACACACACACACACACACACACACACACACCATTTGTATTGTATTATTGTATGAGAGTAGGGTTGCCAACTTCCAGAAATGGAGAAACAGGATACATGCACGTGTCCCCCGCCCGCGCGAAGATTTTCGGGTTTCTGGCGGATTTAGTTACTTTTTTTTGTTACTTTATTTCGGTTTTAGGGTTAGGGTCAGGTTAGGGTTATGTTATTTAATTATTTTGGGGGAGCCAGCCCCTAGGGTTCGAAAATGTTTTTGGGGGTCAAACCCCCCAAAACCCTCAAAATGCATAGAACATGCATTTCACACAATACAAACACAATGGTCTTACACCTGCATTAGGCTACTACATCACATTGTACATCAGCATGTTCAAATCGGATAGGTGGGCACTAGGGACATCTGGGCACCTCGATGTACAATTGTATTAAGTAATGCAAAGTATTAGGGCCGGGACTCGATTAAAAAAATTAAGCTAATTAATTAGAGGCTTTGTAATTAATTAATCGAAATTAATCGCATTTTTAATCACATATACATATTTGACCTGAGAACAGTGAGAAGCAATTTTTTTCACATGGATTTTAGTATACCATTAGGCGCATTCCCACCGCAGTACTTTTCCCACAAAGGTTCATGAGAATTTACTTCATGAGAACTCTTTGAACGGAGCACGAGACACTGTTCCCGGGATGACAGGGTTCCCTGTATCCCGTAGAACTGCGGGGGGGAGAGGCGAACTGCAGAGACTATCCTCTGCCCATCCGCCTGCTCATCCATCTGTCCATCAGACACACGCGCCGCCACCCTGAGTACCATACAGTACTCTGATAGCGCCGGGTGTACATTCTCTGGATGTGCTGTGGTTGGTGGCAAACCACGCCAGAGCCCTCCACACGCTGCATTCCACACAGGCTCTCAATATGTCGCCGTTTAGGAGAAGACTCGTAAACCACGCGTTCACACTCAACATCACTAAGGGATGAGCGGAGGTGTGTGCAGTGCTGTCCACACAATGCGTAATAATGGCCCTCCGTGGGCTTATTACGACCGTGGGTAGGAGGTACGTCTGAGACAGAGAAAAAATCCGTGCTGCCTAAACACAAAAAGTTTAAGGTAGATGGATTGAATAGTAAGCCCTGCTGTTTTATTAACCGATAAGTTAAAAAACCCAGCCGGCTTAGGCAGCGAGCCATGCTGCCAAGTAACCAATAGGCTATTGGCAGCCGGCTTAACCTGGGAGCCAAGCTGCATATTATCTTCCATCTGTCCATTGAATACACGCGCCACCACTCAGCGCGCCAACCTGCTCTGGATGTGCTGTGGTTGTCATGGTGACGAGCCATGCCAGAGCCCTCCAGACGCTGCATTTCACACAGGCTCTCATTATGTCCACTGTAACACATTTTCCTGTCAAATAACAGTAAAGTGCCGGCAGTCTCTTCTCTGCACTTCACTGTAACACCACAGTACTCATACTGTGAAATGACTCTACAGCCTCTTACTGTAAAAATAAAATACAGTATACTGCTGTATTTTTTCAATTAACAGTAAAATATTGGCAGCAGAGATGCCAGCAATACACTGAAATTATACAGTATTTATACTGTTGAACAATTTCAGTTTATTACTGTAAAAAATTAAATAATTCACAGTAACATTCTGGTTAGGGGGCTGCCAGTAGATTAGTGTTGAAAATTGGCTGTAAAATAACAGCAATTGCTTACAGTGTTACACTGGACACCGAAGTGCGTTCACGCTCAACACCCCTAAGGGATGAGCGGAGCTGTGTGCAGTGCTGTCCTCACTGTAATAATGGCACTCGTGGGCTCATTACGACCGTGTGTAGGAGGTAGGTTTGGGACAGAGGAGAAAAACTGAGCTGCCTAAAAACCAATAGGTTTTAAAGACAGCCGATTTATGCAGCGAGCCATGCTGCCTAAAACCGACAGGTTAGCGGCAGCCAGCTCGTAAACTGGACATTGAGGCGCGTTCACGCTCAAACCTGCTGAGGAATGAGCGGAGGTGTGTGCAGTGCTATTCACACAGTGCGTAATAACAGCCCTGGGCTCATTACGACCGTGTGTAGTAGGCACATCTGGGACAGAGGAAAATAACCGTGCTGCCTGCTAACCGACAGGTTAGGAGCATCAGGTTTAAACGTCAAGCCCTGCTGTCTAATAACCGCCTGGTTAAATACAGCTGGCTTGTGCCACGAGCCCTGCTGCCTGCTGACTGACAGGTTACAGCCGGCTCTTGCACCTCCACACGCTGTATTGCACAGCAGCTCTCATCATGTCGCCGTTTAGGAGAAGTCTCGTAAACCGGACATTGAGGCGCGTTCACGCTCAAACCCGCTTGAGGAATGAACGGTGTGTGGAGGCATATCTGTGACATAGGAAACAAGCCTGTGCTGTCTAATCAACCACCAGGTTTTAAAGACAGCCGGTTTGTGCCGCGAGCCCTGCTGCCTAATAACCGACAGGCTATGAGGCAGCCGCTTATGTCATCCGGAGGAGAGCTCTCCTGAACCGGGGGAACGGGGAGATCTCATTAGGCGGCTGCCTTTCCGATGATCTCCGGGAGTTCCTGGAGAATACCACCTATACGGCAGAGCCGAGATGGCGGATAGAGGGACCCGGTGTCAGCCCGGCAGCCGAACCTATAGGCTCGGCTGCCGGGCCGACACCGCCCTGTCTCCCCCGTCCGGAGGAGAGGGAGGATGGGGCCGGGGGAACCACATGGTGATCCGTAAATGGAGGGGAAGGAGTCGCCTGACTGCTGCCCGCCACTCGGATCCAATAATCAAGGGCTTGGTCCACAGATTAAGTCTCCTTGACTAGCCAATCATCCCCGGCCGCAGCCGCGAGAGCGTTCACTCTCCGCTGTCTGTGGGCCAGAGGGAGACGGACACAATGAGTGCACGACACCTGGGGAGTGCGAGCCGCGTTTGCGTGCTCCAATCCCCGGCAGGACTCACCTGTATCGTCTGTGTAAAGCCGCTTCCTCCCTGGAGCGAGCCAGCCACAGCCGGTCGTAACGCATATGTCGGCTAACACCGAGCCCCGCCTTGTCTCCCCCGTCCGGAGGAGAGGGAGGATGGGGCCAGGGGGAAATGTTTGCTTTCTAGTAAACAGCTCTGAAAAGAGCTTGTGTCTGTACAGTGCTTCTGCAACGGAGTGCTGAAGAAAAGTGGGAGCAGATTGTAGGAACTACTTCCTATT